AAAGTCACCGGGAAATAAGTCACAGAAAAAAAAAGGACAACTTTAACTAAGTTAAAAAAAAAAAAAAAAAACGTCACAATTTAATTTTCCTTTTTTTTGCGAGTGACATGTTTTGTTAAAGACATTCCCCTTTCAATCTATGAAATGACCCCCACATACAATAACATCTCAATTTTCATAAACTAGCAAAAATACAAAGTTTATTAAAGTTTATATATTGTATAATTAAATATGATAATCGATCATAGGTGAACTGGAACAATTCAACTAGAAAAAATATATAGAAAATAAAATACAATACAATGTATCTAAAAATACAACTTAGTGACTAGACTTAGAGAGACATGTTTAAAAATAGAAATATAGATCATTCCATAAATAAATCAACAATGTTTTGCGGCAATTTTTAACATCAATTTGAGATATTCTTGTTAAAAAGTTGAATAATTCTAAGTTTTTAACACATTCATTCAACATTATTTTAAACATTTTTCTTCGAAGAAAGTAAGCAAAAGTTTTTTTTCAAAATATGTTATTAAATAATCTTTAAATTTGCTAATTTTCGTCAAATAAATTTTGAAAAACGTTGATTTTTAGAAGAATTTTATTTTTAGACTAGGATTTTAGTTTACAAATTTAAAAAAAAATAGCTGATATCGAGTTTTTTTTTTTTTAGTAATTTCGCTGACAAAAAAAAAATTTTAACTAAAATTTTGTACATGCTAAGAATGAGTGTAAAAACATTTTTTTAAAAAATAACCAAAAAATACTTTGGTATTTCTTCTTAATAATGATACATTAAGCTAAGCAGATAAAAAAAAAATTTTTTTCATCAAATTTAAGGCCATTCTTGTCATGCTCTGCTTTTTTTTTATTGATTTTCATGGAGTTACCTAAGGATTAAAAAAAATAGTGAATAAATTTCATTTTTAGATTTGAATGAAAAAAAAAAAACAAAAGAAACAGAATGACGTCAAAATCCGCGAAAAATGGTCAGCTGTACTTAGTTTAATGTCGATAGAAAAAAAAGCAAATTTAAGTTTTTTTGGTGTACACTTGAACCAATTCAGGCAGATTTTTGAACCATGCTTATTACTGTCAAGAAGTGTCAATTTCCATGGCTGGAAGCGTAAAAAAATATTTTTCACTAAATTCAAGTATTGTTGATCCACAACATCACTGAGGTCAGAGGTTTCCACTATTCATGCTGTCTTCGAGGTTAGGGTCAAAAAGGATAAAAAAAAAAAAAAAAAAAAGTCTATTAAAGAAAGACACAGAAACAGTGCTAAAAAATTGTCCTGTTTCTTTTTTACCTGGATTCACATTTTTATCGTGTGCTCACGCATTATGATTAAACTTTAATTTAATTTTGATGCGTATTGAATTGACGAAAGTGTCAATTCAATACGCATTAAAATCTACACCATTTTTTAAAAATCCTAATCGCATTATTAAAATCTACACCATTTTTTTAAATCCTAATCAGAAACTTTTTAAAATTGTTATATTTGAAATTTCTTTATAAATTTACTAGACAATTTCTAAGCTTTAATTTGCGCTTAATTTTGAGCACATTAAGAATAAAATTTTGATGCCATGATAAAAATTATTAACCTAATAAAGAACATTTTTAACTTAATTATGTAACTAACCACTAAAAATGCTATTTCGCCGAATAATTTGTGCGTTTATTGTTCTTTAAAAAAAAAAAAATCACTTAAAAACTTTTAAAAAAATGTAATGATTTTTTTTCATGGAATTTTATAAATTTATGACAGTTTTATTCACGAATGTTTGTTTGTTTTTTTTTTAAATGCAGATTCTCTTCTGGAGAAAGAAAAGAATGATATTGGAAATTAATTAAATAATTAAATATTTTGATGTCCTTAAAAAAATGTTTTCGTGACCTTAACAGTTTAACAGTGTTGCAATGGACATTATTAGATTTTTTAAGACCTCGTTTACTCGTCCTTTGAAAGAACAAATAACGACGTCCGAGTTACAAGACTGTTTTCATTTTTTTCAAAGCAAAATCAGTTGGTCAACATGTGATTGACGTTGCACATTACTGAAAATTCTAAGTAAAACCAACTTAAATTTATGAACTGAATAGGGAACTAGCAAAGATGAACAACTGTTGTTAGACTTAATTTATTTTAAATTTACTTAATTAATAAAATTAAATAATTTGGGCGATCTTCATAGTTGCTGTGAGTGCACTCGGTCAGTTACGACAAAATAAAAAAGTATTTAAAAAAATCTGAAAATAAACTTTTTTAACTATGGGTCCATTTATACATTTTGAGCACAGGTATCCAGAGAACCTAAAACGATTACTCGGTTACTTATTTTAGCGCATTGTTTTACTTTAATTATTGCTACGTGCTGCAAACTTTGATTTTTAGGCCACAAATAACTGCACCTTTTTATAACCATCTATCAGATATTATTGACAACTAAATCTTTTTTTTTATACATAAGTAATGCCGCAATGCGTCATTTGTTGCGTTTTTTTATGTTGGTGACTGAACAAAAAAATAGTGAAGAAAACTAATAAAAGTACTTGGGAGAAGTAACTTCCAGTTTGTTTTTGAGTTGAAAGAAACGTGAATAATATTATTTCCTTTAAAATAATATTTTAAGTTATTAAAACTTATTTTAAAAATCTATGACATTTATGTTTAAATAACTTATTAAAAAAGTAATTATTATTTTTTTAAATTAAATGAAATAAAAAAAATCTTGGTAATAGTCTGATTTAATTTTAGCATTAAAAATAAAATTTATCTTAACAGTAACACTAACACGCTTATAAACACTAAACAGGTTTATTTACTAATTTTGTTTAAGTGACAATTTAAAAAAAAACAACTTTTTTCTTTATGATGCTTTCTGGATAACTTGTTTGTATTCTTTTAAAACTTTTCAAGTTGTCTTTCTATGCGGGTGAATTTGAACACGATTTTTAGTTTTGAAAGCTTGTATTTCCGTTTTGTTCATCGAAATAAAAACAAATTTCAATTTGACTTTGACAGCATGTTTTTTTTTGTTTGTTTGTTTTTTTGGTGAAACCTGACCCACATCCAACCGTGATAATTTGGGTCGCTAAAAAGTACGAAATCATAAAAAATACAATTAAAAAACAGAATAATTTCTATTTCAACATTGAGATTTTTTTTTACAACCAAATAATTAAAACTTTAAAAAAATAAGGTATCCAAGTGAATTATTAGGCTTAAAAAAAAAACAGAAAACAAACTGTCCATTCCGAATTATTAAGCCTTTAAAAAACTGCCCATTCCGAAAACAAAAAAAGACTTTTGAACAAAAAATATTTTAACTTAGTTGACAGCAACTTGACACAAAAACAAAAAAATTATTACACGGGCGCCTACCACAGCGCGTGTCATTAATTTGGTCGTTGTCGCTCGACATTTTCGGTAACAGTGTATTGTCTACTAAATTCAGCTTAGTAACCAACTTTTTTACTTAACTCTGTCAAGCCTATTGTAATACAACTGTTAGTAGATGAACTATAAAACTCACTAGTTTATGAGCGGAGCTACATTCATACGTACTCGACTCGTGTAACAAGTAACCTTGTGCCATACTAAGCATCAAAACTGCCACGGGACTGTAGGTTCAAAGATTCGAGGCATCATCCTAAGCGAGAATAAGTTGTTTTATCAAGGAGAAAAAAATCTACGAAAAAAACTAAATATTCATTTTTATTTCTAATCTTATATTTTTATTTATTTAAGGGAGATTGATGATACTTCTAAAATCTGCGATTGCAGTGTTAATATTTGTATCCCAGAAAAACATTTCTCTCTCTAGCATTTAGTTTTAAAATTTTAAATTTATATTGTTTTTGTAATGCCAAGGGCCCAAGAAACTTTTTTTTTTTTTTTTTTGGTAGTAAATAAACAAATACAACTGTTTAGTTTACAGTGCCAATAAAAAAAAAAGTGTAGCATAATTATTTTTAATTGAATAATAATGAATAAAATTTCTTAAATTCGGATCTTAGCCATCAGATCTAGATTGTGTGAGAGGGAGCACTGGATTCCCGATTGAACAAGTTGAAAGTTTTGGGGGTTTTGGACCATATTAATTAATTACAAAATGCTAACACCATTTAGAATTAAATGTTTCTTTTCAAAACATTAAAAACAAGCATAAATTATGAGAACTTTTTAAAAAAATCCTGCAAAAACAAAGAAACAAATCACCCAACCGTCCTAAACTAAACGAAAAGAAAAAAAAATGGACGTGTTTTAGACACGTGGTTAGTATGCTAATTTAACTATCACAATATCAACAACGAACAAAATATAATTACAATTTATGCATTTTTCCAAGTGATTCTAAAAAAATTAAAAACGTGGTAAAAATGTTTAATTGCACTTACTCGGAAATAGCTTTTCCACTTAATATTTCAGCCATGTCGCTTTCCCGGTTTCGTTTCAGCAAATCAATCCCTGCAACTTTGATTAAATGCGTATTGTTAAACCGTTTAGACTTACTATATACAAGCTGAACAGTTTTCTCCCTCTTCTTCTATATCTATCTAACTCTCTCTTTTAATGATTATCTGCCTATCAAGCTTAATGTGAGGCAGGTAACAACTGCACACTCGGTAGTAAGAACAAGTACCTGGGCCCTTGAAACTGTAGTGTAGTTTGGGGTCGAGTGAGGAGAGAGAAGCGGACCTAATAAGTCAGCTGGGAGGAATCAGTTACTTTTTTTTAGGGTGAATAAAAAAAAAAAAAAAAAATGTCTCGTGTACTGTTTTCGCTTTCACTCCTATACCAAAGCTTCAAAAAGGTCGCAACTTATACTCAAATTTTCTGTTAGGTTTTCCACCGAATTTCTAGGTTTTTAACAACTACACTACAGGATTTGCGAACAATCCTGATTCCTGAATTATCCGTTATACCGTACCGTACTGACAGGTCACGTCATTGCAGCCGTAGTAAAATTATAACTACACTTCTTGGATGAGCGTATCTATCTTTAAATTTAAAATGTTAAAAAGGAAATATTTCTCCTCTCTATTCTTTGATAAAGGTCTAAAAAGGCTTGTCACTATTTTTTGTTCCTAAAAACTTTAAAATAGTGAATAATACATTTTTTTTCTTTTTTTTTTTTTATAGTTTTCAGAGCATCTGCCAGGAAACTTCGAAAAATATTAAGAATTCCAAGCCCCAAAAGGGGCTTTCCAATGGCAGTATTCCTTGAACGTGGTTTATTGACCGGCGTCTGATGTCTTGTCAAAAGGTGAAGTGGCGAGGGGGATTGTCCAATTTTCCATGGTATTGCCGTCAAAAGTCAAAACCCACTATAAAAAAGTAAGTAAAAAAAAAAAAAAAAAAAAAAATGACGTCCTTGTCTCACATTCGGTAGCGATGTGAGCGCACTGAAAAATACTAACTATTTACTATACTCATTACAATTCTACATGGCCGGTAATAAAGTCACAGTAAAAAAAAATGTCAATTTTGGCTAGGAAAAAAGTCACAAGAACAAAAGTCACAATTAAAAAGTAGCCGGTAATAAAATCATTTATTTCTGTCGGCTGCTTTATGGGTCCCCTCTGTAACAGAAATTCATTTTTAAACCATTAAAAATGAAATCTATCCAACCTCTAAAAAAGGTTTTCTGGCAATGATACGGACATATATTCGGGTATATAGTTGGAGCTTTAGTAATTAGTATCCCGCAAGACCCAACTTTTTTTCATATATGAAGAAAACCTTTCGAAAAGTTGTTTTTCGTTTTTTTTTTTTTTTTTTTTTTAAGTTTGCGTCAATAAATGTAAACAAACCACAGAGATTGTATGCGAAGAAGTTGTAAAAAAACGTTTTCTCTGACAATGTTACGGTCACATATTCGATATATTTCATCATAGCTAGGGAGTCCTAATATCCCATAAGAAGACCCATATTTAGACGAAAGTCTCAATTTGAATTAATAAAAGTTCCTTGAATTTGAATTTACTTATAAGACTGGGAGCTTGTCCACTTTTGGTATTTAGAGACTGGGTTTTACTTTTGTCCGTTGTGTACTTTGTCTTGTTTCTTGTTTTTTTTTTTTTCCTGTGTCGGATTTTATCTGGATTGCAATTTCAAGCAAGTCTTAGGGTTAAGGACCCAAAGTGATGTAGAGTTTGGTTGTTAATGATGTTAGTATTCATTATTCCTAACACAGAGTTCGGATGGACTTAATTCATTCTGAATAATACTTCTGTTCGTGTTTTACAGTTTTCGGTCTGCAGATCTGTGTTAGAAATTTTGTTCGGATTAAAAAAAATGTCATATCTTCACATCAAAATATGGTTCACTTCACATCACTGAAAAATTCAAAGATAGAAAGTTAAAGGAAGTAACTGGTTTATCTGAATGGTGCTTTTTTTTTCTAAAAAAAAAATTCTTCTGTATGCCATGTCACTTCAGGATTTTCTCCTTTGTAGCTCTTAGTAAATTTTGTCTTTTTTTGCTAATTATCCTCAACCCTGTTCTGCCATCCATTTACACACGCCCGTTAGGTTGTGCTATTTTCCTCTGTCTCTCTCTTTCCTTCAATATGTCATGTGAGTGTCAATTTCTCCAAGCCCTCTTTTCTCGTTATGCGCCCTAGAAACTTCAACTATTTCTTCCTGATGTTAAGTAAAACTAAAAAAAAGTGTCCTTTTTGTTTCTATTTTCTCTAAAAATTTGTCATTGCTCGCATGTTCAGTCCATGGTATTCTCAGCATCTTTCTGTAGTACCACATTCCTGTTGTTTCAAGTTTTTTCATCTTTGAGGAGATTGTCCAGCATTCAGTCATATAGGAGGATTGATATTACATAACAGTTCAGTACACTTTTGATCTCTCTCTTGTCTTTTCTCTTTCGTTTCTTCTTTCTTTTCCCTACTTGATTTCTCACTTGTCGTTTATCTTTTTTCTATTGTCTCTTCTCTTTTTCTTTCCTCTCTCTTTTCCCTACTTCACCTCTCTCTTGGTTTTATTTCTTTTATTGTTCTTTTTTCTTTCTTTTTTCTTTGCTCTCTCTTCTCCCGAGTTGACTTCTCTCATCTTTTACTCTCTCTTTTATTGTTCATTCGCTTTTTTTTCTTTGCCCTCTTTTTTTTTACCACATTTGGCCTTCTCTCTTTCTTTTTTGTTTCTTCTCTTTCTTTTTTGTTTCTTCTCTTTCTTTTTTGTTTCTTCTCTTTCTTTTTTGTTTCTTCTCTTTCTTTTTTGTTTCTTCTCTTTCTTTTTTGTTTCTTCTCTCTCTTTTTTGTTTCTTCTCTCTCTTTTTTGTTTCTTCTCTTTTTCTTTCATTTCTCTTCTCCCTACTTCACCTTTCTCTTGTATTTTTCTCTTTCTTTTTTATTTCTCTTCTCCCCACTTGACTACTCTCTTGTATTTTACTCTTTTTTTTTTATAGTCCCTTCTCTTTCTTTTTCTTTCCTCTCCCTTCTCTCTACTTCACCTCTCACTTGCTTTATTCTTTCTTTTATTGTTCATTCCCTTTTCTTTTTTCTTTGCTTTCTCTTTCACCATTTGACCTTTTCTCTCGTCTTTTACTCTCTCTTTTATTGTTCCTTCTCTTTCTTTTTTCTTTGTTCTCTATTTCCTCCACTTGACCTCTGTCTTTTTCTCACTTTCACATTTATTTCTTGTTTCATAACTCCTACTTTTGAATTTTGAAAAATCTCTCATCTCTTCATTTTATGTGTTTACACATTTTTCTGCACCCCACTGTATCATTTATTTTTTATTTCTCTCTCTCTCTCTCTCTCCAAACCTTTCTTTCACTTTATCTGATTTCTCTTTTTCCATCAGCATTCTACCCATACCTACAGGCACTTAAAACATATTACAGGTATTTAGACCCAACAGGTAGGAGGAACAGTTAATAAATTACTTATCTTTGATTTGCATTATACATTGGTGGGCTCTTGCTTACAGTCAAGTAGAAAAATACAGCTTAAATTCTATTGGATAAACAAAATTGACATGTATGACCTATGGGCAGGGCTGCATTATCATTTAGACTAGTATAGGCTTCAGCTTAGGGCCCCTCAAGCTTTTATAAAGCAATGATTTTTAATTTTCTAGATGTTATAATTTCTAAATAGTTTCCAAAACTGAAAAGGATATCAATAAGACAAACATTATATTTATTTGACTTTACAGGAAGCAAAGCAAGGAAAAGATTGTTTTAGTTTGTGTCATTGTGTTTCAAGTAGATAACATGCTTGATTTTAGTTCAGAATGTTTAAATCTTGGACATTTTTATAAAGCAATGATTTTAATTTTCTAGATGTTATAATTTCTAAATAGTTTCATAAACTGAAATGATATCAATATGACAAACTCATATTTATTTTGATATTTTTTTATTATAATACTGCTTAGAAAATCTTTTTTTTTTACTACGATTGGGTTGAATTATGTGCCATTGTTGTATTTCTTAAAGAATATTTTTTATTAACAAACAAAAGATAGCTATTCTTGTTTATTTAAAGAATTTGCAATAAGTTTACTTTAATCTATGTAAATATGGCTAAAATATATCCCAAGTAAAAATATTCAAATTGCCATTGGCTCAGTCTGAGAGTTAGGGAGGACATAATTTCATTAGGGCCTAGAATATTAGTGGCTGCAGCTTTTATAAAGCAGTGATTTTAATTTTCTAGATGTTATAACTTCTAAATAGTTTCATAAACTTAAATGATATCAGTATGACAAACTATTTTAATTGTTTTATTGTTATAATACCTGTGAAAAGAATCTTTTTTTTTTCTTTTTTTTTTTTTTTTTTTTTTTTTTTTTTTTTTTTACTACAGTTGTGTTGAAATATGTGTTAATTTGGTTTGTAATTATAGTATAGTGTTACTGGCTCATGGAAAGTAGTATGCACTCAACTATCTCATGGGTAATAGCCATAGCTATTTATTGTCTTTGTGATTTCCTATGAAAATGTATCACCTCATCCCTCTGTACTGAAGATGTTTTACCCCCTTATTTTCCCTGATACTACTTCTGGGGGCTTTTGTCTTCTCATTATCTTCTTCCCTTTCTCTAAGAGATTGTCTAGATATGAGAGCTCTCGAACTTCTTTTTTCATAGGAGTGTTCTTCCAATGATTGTCCTTGTTCATCTTCACAGTCTATATTACTCTTGATTTCTAGTTTGTCTTGAAACTTTTTGGCTTCATTATTTTCAGACTCACTAAACATTTCTTCATCACTGTTGTGTTGCAATCTCACTTGATCTGCATTTGCTGACATCCTGTTTCTATTTTTTTCTATTATCATGGTATTCTGTTCACTTTGTGAATCTTGCCTCTTGTAGATTAGATTCAGAAATTCTTTTTGTTTAAATAGTTTTCATTGGAAAGCATGGACATTATCAATGCCATTTCTAATTTGTTCACCCATAATACTCTGGGATTTTCAATCTTCCATGTTGTATTGCCCTATAACTTAGCAACATTCTAAGAAGAAATGTTTCTATCTTTTCTTTGCATTGTACACATATTTTCAACCCATTTTTTATAGTTTGTGCCATTCTTTCTGCTAATCTGTTTGATTATGGATACTATGAAGGAGTTTTATATGGTTTGCAGCCAATTTTGTTTAACCATTGGCAGAGTTCTTTGTCACAGAACAGTAGGGTGTTGTCAGATATTGGCATTTTCAGAATTCCATTTCTTGAAAATATGATCCTTAACGCTTGTTTAACAGTCAAACTTCTTTTGTTGTTGTTGTTATATTCTATGCTAATAGGAATATATACTTGAAAAACAAGGTAGATAAAATAAGTAAAGGTTTATTATAAAAAACCAGTACAATAAGAATAAAGGTAACAGTTATGCATAAGGTCCCCACAAGTCAATCCAGTAGTGAGTGCTACTATTGGAAGGTCAGTAGTTCTCGCGTAAGTCTGAATCATACTCAACAGATCCCAGCTAGTATATTTAGCTACCCCCCACGAGGGTTGCATGTGGCACAAGGCCGGTTTAACATGGGTTCTCTGAGCTCGTATGCTCGGCCAAAAATATTCCCTTTTGAACCCATATAAACGGGTTCAGGAACAGTCTACCTCCTCGAACGAGACTCTGGCCTTCGGCAAAGCCTTGTCCATGTTCCTCTGCCTGCAGAGAGTTCGACTGTTTAGCTGGAACAGGTCGCAGCTAGACTCTAATCCACTGACTTACAGATACTTATACATAGTTACTACCTATAGTGTAGTCACTCATGAGGGTGACAGGTTATTCCATTACATCAGTTGTAAAGCCATATTACTTCTGGCCAGCCTGAATATGAATCTACTAGTATTAGTAATAATCTCACTCCATTAAGATGGGCATGATCCATGTGTACTCTTTAGGCCATTCAAAGTATCACGCTACATATTATCAGTAGAAATTTTCAAGTCCTAAGAAAGATTCCAATTCTTTTTTGTTCTTAGATACTTCAGCCTTTAATATTTTGTCAATTAATGATTGATCTGATGATATGTCTTCATAAGATGGAATATCCCCAAAATGATATTATTTTAGTGTTGTGCACACATTTTTTCCATTAATTGTTAATCCAGCATTTTTAAGTGGTTTTCTATTTTAACTCTTTGTTGTTAATAGCACCAACACAAATGTCATCCTGGTAGCATATTGTATTTTTATATCACTACCAATAACTTGCTCTATAGTCCTTTGAAAAATTGCACATGGTTTTAATTTCATACAGCATCCTTTTCCATCTTAATAAGCCTATTGATGTGTTTATTGTTATGACTTCTTTAAATTCTTTGTCAATAGGTATTTGATGGTATATGGACTTTAGATCAATTTTAGAGAATGTTTTCATACCTGTAATATAGTTCAAAGCCCATTCTACATTGGGCATAGGATATGAGTCTGTACATATTTTGTAATTTATACCTATTTTGGTAGTGACCACAAATATGCAAATCCCCATCCTTCTTTCTTAAAATTACTAATGGAGAGGCCCATTTGCTCTCTTCTAACAGAACTCGTTCAAGTAGATCTTGTTCCAGTAATTATTTTTAATCTTTCCACAATTCTTATTAGATGGACTGGCACTTTTTGTGCTTCAAAATATGAGGGGGGAGACATTTTCCTTTAGTTTTAATTTTGCTTCATAATTTTTTAACATTCCAGTTTATTCTGCCTTGACTTTGTTTACTAATTTTGTTGAATTTATGTTCAATACATCATACTTATTATAAAACCCAGGTTGTGTGTGTTTGTTTCACTTTTTATATATTGGATAGATTTCTTACATTTTTTCAAACCAATTTCAACAAAACTTCACAGCTGGATGTAAAATTGCCTTGCGGTGGTTCTGACAAAATTCAAAAAACACAATTGTTTTTGCACAAAATCAATTTGAAAATATGATTAACATTTGGACATAAGAATGAAAGGGAACAACTCATATCGAGTTATAATTATTATAAAACCCAGGTTGGTTGTGTGTGTGTGTGTTCAATTATATATGGGATCGAATTTCCTTAATTTTTCAACGGATTTTTTTTTTTTTTTCCACCAGGTAGTGTTTCTTATTGTCTATCATTTTTTTTTTTATTTTTACATTCAGAATGCTTTAAAAATTCCATTTAATGACTATTGTTTTTAAAAAATTCTATTCAATCGGTAGACTCATAACATTGAAAACAATGTTTGAGTTTGGGTTTGACCAATTCGTAAAAAAAAAAACTAATTAAGACATGCATATCCGTCAATCTTAAACAATAATCTTTGTCAATTTTATTTTTCAGTCTTTTGATGGTCGATACTTGATCTATCTCTTACTGTTACATCCCCGGGCAACGCTGGGCTCCACTGCTAGTTTCTTATAAGACCATGATTCTTTTCACAGTTTGCCACAATAATTGGTAATATGTCAAAATTATTTTTTAGTTCCATATAGCCTAAAATTAATAGCCTAAGGCTTATATCACAGATCCATCAAGCTGATTCAATTGTACAAGGCTATTTTTATTCTTAGTTTTCTTAATTTCTTCCAGAAATTTCTGGGTATCAATGTTATGTCACTTCCCTTATCTAATTGCATGTCCAATAATACGCTATTGATTCAAATTCTTAATAATCCTTCATTATTTTTTTTTCTTCAATGAAAAGATGTCCATACTTCTTTGCTCTTCATTTTGTTGGACTGTCTCTAAGTTTCTCTTTTCGGATTTACACATTCGTTGAAAATGATTCATTTTGAAACACTTTTTATATTTTTTTTATATGCCAAACATTTTTGTTTTTCTATTTGATATCCACAAAAAGTACACCTTATTTTATCTTTTTTCTTTATGGCATATGTGTGCATTTCCTCTACAAGATTTGTAACAGTTGTTCTATTGAATTTTCCAATTAATTCTTGCTGTTGAAGAAATTCAACACACTGTTCTAGTGACAACTTTCCCAGTTTTAAATGCATTAGAATCATTTGCCGATACTCCTTATTTTGAAGGCTGTTTACCAATTTCATTTGGATCAAATCCTCTTCGACTGATTGTCCAATCCCAGTTTCTCAATTCACAATATTTAATGGCCTGTTTCAACAGAAGACCATATTCAATAACTGGTTCATTCACTTTTTGATAAATATTCATAAATTTTGCTCTCTCTGCATTCACTAGTTTTTTTCTTGGGTGCTATGTTT